ATAGAATAGTAGAATAATAAAAAATAGAACAGAATAATAACAATAAAAGATAGAATAGAATTAGAACAAGAATAAATTAGAATAGAATAATAATAAAGAATAGAATATAGAATAAGAATGAATAAGAATAGAACAGTAGAATAATAATAGGGAATAAAATAGAATTCTAAGAATAAAAACAGAATAGAATAGAACATTAGAATAATAATATAGAATAGAATTAGAATAAGACTGGGAATAGAATAGTAGAATAATAATAAAATAAAATGGAATGGAATAGAATAGAATAGAAAATAGGGCAGAAAAGGACATTGAAGATCATCTAGTCCAGCCCCTTCAAGCAGGAGAACCGTCCTATACCATCTCAGACAAATGACTGTCCAGGGTTGGACTAGAAGACCTCCAAGGCCCCTTTCCCGCTCTATTCAATTCGAGCAGGACCATCCACCCAGTTCATATACCTGCTTCCTAAAATGGGTGATGATTTCCTGCGTATCGGAAAAAACTCCGTCCGAGGTCTTGAGCGCCGGGAGCGATCCTGCCATGAAAAAATAATAATAAATAGCAGGTTGGGGGGGGGGGAAGAGAGGCAGTGGGGGGAGGGAGGGAAGCCCCATTTACGCCCCCTCTCTCTTCCCCCATCCCCCAGGCTGGAGTCTCTCTCCCTCCCACCTGTTTCCCCATCCCTCTTGAGGACTAGAAACCTGCCCACCTTTTCCAAAAGCGGTGGGGAAAAAAAAAATCGAAAACTTTTCCCAGACAATGAAAAAAAAAATATATCAAAACTTTCCAAGCAATTCACAGGAGGGGGGTTTGTTGTTGTTGTTTTTTTCCTAACCCCCACCCCCCAAAATAAAACTTACCCGAGGGGCTTCTCCAGGGGTTGGTGATTTTGTGAACTTTGAGGGGAACCCCTGTGAATCGAGCATAAGTCTGCAAGGGGGAGGAAAAAAAAAGAGGAGAAATGAATGAATGCATCCTCAGCAACAGAGCCCATCCTCTTCATATCTTCATAATCCAAATTATTCTGAATTTCTTCCTTCAAAATTCTGCTTTGCAAGCACCAAAACCAGCAATCTGGGTCTCTTTTTTTCTTCTTCTTTCGGCTGGGGGGGGGGCCCGGGCCACCCAATTTTTGCAGACGCCCCCATCTACCCCACACCCCCACAACAACAGCCCATGGTTGCAATGCTTTCCCCCCCCCCCCACTCCCCCTGCGGGCGCCCGGTTGGAGAAGAAGGCAGCGCCCGACGCTTTTGCAAATTTTTTTTTTTAAAAAGCGCTTTGCAAATTAAAAAAAAATGCACTTTGTGAATTAAAAAAATGCTCTTTGCAAATTAAAAAAAAATGCGCTTTGCAAATTTTTTTTAAAAAGCGCATTGCAAATTTTTTTAAAAAGCGCATTGCAAACCCAAAAGTGCTTTGAAAACAAAAAATGCAAAAATAAAAAAGCGCATTGCAAATTTTAAAAAAAATGCGCTTTGCAAATTGGAAAATATGCGCTTTGCAATCAAACCAAATGCGCTTTGCCAAAATAAAAAAAGTAAAAAAAAAAACCGTTCTGGAAAAAAAAATCCAAAAGTGTGCTTTGCAATAATCATAATAATCATAATCATAATCACAATCACAATCATAATAATAATCATCATAATAATAGTGATAATAATAATAGTGATAATAATAATAATGATAGTGATAATGATAATAATGATAAAAATATAAGCGCTTTGCAAAAGCAAAAACAAAAAAAACGCAATCCGGATTTGCAAAGCCCGCTTTGGAGAAGTTTGCCTGCAAAATCCCTCCCTCTCCCTCCCCTCCCCCCCTCACCAAAACGGCCAAGCAATCGGGGTCGACGGTGGGCAACCCCCACCCGCCGGCCCAGCAATACAACTCCATGGGCGCCGCCATCTTCCCTGGCTTTTGCTAACCCGGAACAGCCTTAAACAAGAGAGAGAGAGAGAGAGAGAGAGAGGAAAATAGGAGTGACTCCGATTTGGACCGCTCCAGCCTTTGGGGCTCTTCCGCCCCCCTCTGTCGAGGCTTGCAAAATGCAACCCCGGTGCTTCTTTGCAAACAGTGGCTTGGCTGGCAACCCTCCACACGTTCCTAGCAGCTTCGCCTGCTGCATATATAGACACGTGTTGGGTTGCAAAAGCCGGGAGGCGAGTGGGTTTAGCCTCCTTTCTGCATAAAGCGGAGCGGGGGGTTGGGGGGTCTTAGGAAACCGGTTGCATGCTAAAGGGGATTTTTTTTGTGGGGGGGTGGGGAGGGGGTCGTGAGAATCCCTGCAGTGCCTTATAAGCGGGGGAGGGGAGGCTGGGAGGTTAAAGTAGAGGGTGGGTGGATTGCAAAGGCCAGAATCCTGGGCTTCCCGCCCCTTTATTTTCTAACTAATCTAGTTTTCCATCTTCGGGGGTTGGACTAGATGACCTCCAAGGTCCCTTTCCATCCCTGTTGTTATTCTGCTTATTCTGCTTGAGCAAGGGGGTTGGACTAGATGACCTATAAGGTCCCTTTGCCGTCTCTCTTACTCTGTTATTATTCTGCTCGAGCAAGGGGGTTGGACTAGATGACCTATAAGGTCCCTTGTTTTCCTATCATCTCCCTTTTCAACCCTTCCTCCCCCCCTAATCCTTGCCAGACCTCTTGAAAACTTGATGGGATTATGAGGGCCGGGATCTTTCCATTACGACCAGGAGAAACAAGGTTAGGAAACCCTCCCAGTGTAACGAGGCGCCTCGGTCTGTGGGAACTCGCTCCCGTCCAAACGGAGACAGATGGCCGAGACAAATTCCATTCGGCCTTACATCATCTTCTCCTTCCTTTGCGAGCCATTCCTTCCGAGATGACCTCACCCAAGAAGCCCAGGCGCTGAATCACACATCGAATTTCCAGAAGATTAGAGGGAGGAAAAGAAGAAGGACGAGAAACCGGACGCCGTGCATTCGGCCGGCCGAGCGGATTCCATGGCGGTTCATTCTGGTTTCCCCCAGAAGCCGATCGGTCATCGGCTGAAGAAACGGCCTGGTGCCAGCGGCTCAGCTCAAATTTACAAACAGATGAATTGAAGGACGGGCCACTTTCCCTAATGCAAAATGCAATTTTGTATATATATAAAGTGATAGATGATAGGGAGATAAATAAATGGATGAATGGATGGATGGATAGATAGATGATGGATGGATGATGGATGGATAGATGGATAGTTGGATGGATAGATGATGGATGGATGGATAGATGGATGGATAGATGGATGGATAGATGGATAGATGATGAATGGATGGATAGATAGATAGTTGGATGGATAGATGATGGATGGATGATGAATGGATGATGGATGGATGGATGGATAGATGGATGGATAGATGGATGGATAGATGGATAGATGATGGATGGATGGATAGATAGATGATGGATGGATGATGGATGGATAGATGGATAGTTGGATGGATAGACGGATGGATGATGGATGGATAGATGATAGTTGGATGGATAGATGATGGATGGATATATAGATGGATGGATGGATAGATGGATGATGGATGGGTAGATGGATGGATGATAGATGGATACATAATTGGATGGATAAATTGATGGATAGATAGTTGGATGGATAGATGATGGATGGATGGATAGATGGATGAATGGATGGATAGATGGATAGATGATAGATGGATGGATAGATGGATGAATGGATGGATGGATAGTTGGATGGATGATAGATGGATGGATACATAATTGGATGAATTGATGGATACATGGTTGGATAGATGATGGATGGATGGATGGATGGATGGATAGATGATGGATGGATAGATAGATGGATGATGGATGGATGGATGATAGTTGGATGGATGGATGGATAGATGGATAGTTGGATGGATTGATGATGGATAGATAGTTGGACGAATGGATGGATGGATAGATGGGTAGATAGTTGGATGGATAGATGATAGATACCGTAGATAAATAGATGATAGATAAAGAGATATAGATATTAAGATTAGTTAATAGAACATTGAGTAATTTAATATTTCAATTAAATATTCGTGATTTAATGTGATTTAAATCACATTATCTCTTAGGGCAAAACAGGTCCCCCAAAGGTCACCCTGCTAGCTCATTTCAAAGGCCAGTCTTGAATTTGGCAGGGGTGGGTTGGTGGACTAGATTTATAAAGACCCCCGAAGTCCCTTCCAGCTGTAGGATTCAAGGACAATTTAAGGTTTGGTTCCTACTTCCCACCAGCACCAGAGTCGATCTGGAGTAAAAAAGAAATAACGTATCCCCACATCACCTTTCCAAGATTTCCGCATTTCCAGATTTTTAACTTTCCAAATTTCTCCGCCAGCTCCGTGGAAGAGAAAGATTGCGAAATTTTTCCGCCCCGAGTCTTTTTGTGACCCAAATAACTCGAAATTCCTGTGGCTTGACGACTAATTGGTGTCTCCTTGCATAAGCCTGAATAAATCCCAGTCCTGCCTATTCTTTGCAAATCCCCCTCTGGATAGCTAATCCAAGGAACTCCCTGCTACAAGGCGGGATAAATAAAAATAAACTTCCTGGGACATATAAATAGATATATAAATATATATATATATTTTACCCAAGACCCAGGAATGGTTGGGCTCAATTTGCAGGCAGCTGCCGGAGTTAAAGGCCTTGAAATGTGGCTTGTATCGATGGCAATAATAAATAAAAGAAAATAAATAAAATACAGAGTTGCTTTCTTCTCCCTGGGATTCCGCCATGAATGAAAACCCCAGAAAAGGAGGACGAGGAGGATGTAAAGGAGAGAAAAGAAGGAAGGATAGCAGAGTTGGAAGGGCCCTCAGAGGTCCTCTAGTCCAACCCCCTGATCCAGCAGGAGGCCCTATACAATTGGAGACGGGGGGCTGTCCAGTCTCTTCTTAAAAGCCTCCAGCGATGGGAGCCCCCACCGCTTCTGCAGATAAGTCACTTAATTGGTTTAATTGGTTTTATGGTCAGGAAATTTCTCCTTAGTTCTAGGTTGTTTTCTCTCCTCGATCTGTTTCCACGATCCGTTGCTTCGGGTGCTTTATTGAACACACACACACCCCTCTTTTTCTTTGGGGCAGCCCCTCCAGTACGGGAACCCCGCTATCATGTCTGTCTGTCTGTCCGTCTGTATCTATCTATCTATCTATCTATCTATCTATCTATCATCTATCATCTATCTGTCTATCTATCTATCTATCTATCTATCTATCTATCTATCATCTATCTATCATCTATCTTTCTATCATTCTCTCATCTCTATCTATCATCTATCTTTCTATCATTCTCTCATCTATCTCTATCTATCTATCTATCTATCTATCTATCTATCTATCTATCTATCTATCATCTATCTTTCTATCATTCTCTCATCTATCTATCATCTATCTATCTACCTACCTACCTACCTACCTATCTATCTAGCTATCATTATCTATCTATCATTATCTATCTATCTATCTATCTATCTATCTATCTATCTATCTATCATCTATCTTTCTATCATTCTCTCATCTATCTCTCTATCTATCCATCTATCTATCTATCTATCTATCTATCTATCTATCTATCTATCTATCTATCTATCTATTTATCTATCATCTATCTTTCTATCATTCTCTCATCTATCATCTATCTACCTACCTACCTACCTACCTACCTATCTAGCTATCGTCTACCTATCTATCTATCTATCTATCTATCTATCTATCTATCTATCTATCTATCTATCTATCATCTATCATGTCTGTCTGTCTGTCTAATTTCGCCTCTCAGCTCCCTAAAAGAGCCCCGTTGATGAAGGGGTTAAGGGGGCACCTCCCCCCCAAGCCACAGATGTTCGGGGCGGTGTGGTTTGGCGCCAGAGCAGGAACAGCTACAACGAGGTGCAAATCAGAGGCCCCCGTTGTTATGGTGGCCTGCAAACAAAACATAAACAGATTCCGGCCAGTTGCAAATCCAGATGAGGGTTTGGTGGTTGGGGGGGGGAGGGGGGAGGGGGAATCAGTCGGTAGCTGGCAAAAAAAGCTGCCTCCGTTTGCAGAAACCAACGGTTTCCTTCCCTCCTTCCTTTTCCTTCTTTCTTTCTCTTTTTCCTTCTTTCCTTCGTTTCCTTCCTCTTTTTTCTTTTCCTTTGTTGTTTCTTTCCTTCTTCCTTATTTCTTCTTTCTTTTACTTTCTTTCCTTCTCTTTCCTCCCTCCCTTTTTCTTCCTTCCTTCCTTCTTTCTTTCCTTCCTTCTTTCTCTTTCCTTCCTCTTTCTTTCTTTTTCTTTCTTTCCTTCCTTCCTTCCCTTCCCTTTTCCTTCTTCTTTTCTTTTCTTGTTCCTCTTTCCCTCTTTCTTTTTCTTCTTGCCTTCCTTCCCTC